GCATGCCTCATTATGCTCCGTACTTGTATAGCGCCTTTCTAGTCTTTTCGACCACTCAAAGCGCTACAGTCATTACAGTCAGTGCTATGACTGAAGGACCACATACTGACTGCAGACGTGCTTTAGGCTAATTGGAGAATGTACTGGTCATACTTGAAATACTAAAACACAGTTTTGCATGTTAATTACAAGCTCAGACATTTGCTGCTCTCTGTCAGCGGCAGGAAGCCGTTTAGTCTGCAGCCGTTCTGCAGATAAATAAGCCTAAAAATACATTTTTCCTTTGTTTTGATTTTTTAAAAATCTAAATGAAATGACAGCTCTACATTCTGGTGTCATCCACATCACTGTGACACGCTGTCTGTAACACCTGGAGTGCTTTCTGTTCAGCATCATCAAAGGGTTTTACACAAATACAGGCTGTCACCTGCACAGACCCACAAATCACTGTCCCTCTTTCACTGTATCTGAAAAGGCAGCAGTCCTGACTGTGAGGAGATGAAACGATGGGAAACATACTGTGTAGCCTATCGATGGAAGTTGGTCTGTTTCTTTCTTTGTTTTTATTCTGGTGGGTGCACAACAACAAAACAGTATAAATGAACTGTCATTCAACATGTTGGTCAGTCTCCAAATATCTTCTGTAACCTTGTCCGTAGCACTAAACCGCTGATTCCTACTTAAGATGTAAGTAAGAAATAGGCTCCCACGTGTATGATTTAATTCATAAAAGGGCCAAGTACTATCCTTAAAGAGCTGGTCACTCTAGTTTTTAGAAACTCAAACAGGAGGAAATGGTGCATTTGTTGGGGACTATTTTCAGTGGCAGATTAATACACATGTGGTGCTCTTTTTTTTGTATTTGGGGCAGAAGGACAGTGAATGTGGGACTGAGTCAAATTAAACTACAGTAATTGTGTTCATGGTGATGAAGGAACATGTCACCCTGTGCAACAGCGTGGCTCATCACAATGTTTGTTAGTTGGATCAATTCATTGTTGGTTTTTCACAGGGTTTGAACACTACAGAAAATAACCAGCCATGATGCCATTTTGATGATTATTTAATCATCCATCCATCGTCAACCGCTTATCCTGCGTACAGCGTCACGGGAGGCTGGAGCCAATCCCAGCTGACATCTGGCGAAAGGCGGGGTGACCATCACAGTTTCCAAGTTTACACATTCAAATATCTTGTTTTGTACAATGTAAAACCCAAATATATTCAATTTACTGTCATAGGTGACTAATATATAAATATTCACATTTAAAAACTGGAACTAGTGAATTTTTGGTATTTCAGTTTTAAAAATGACTTAAACGATTAACACATTATGAAATGCGTTGCAGTTTATTTTTCTGCCGATTAACCAATCGATTAATCAACTAATCGCTTTGTCTGTAATTTGAACAACATTACACCACAGAGTCATCTCAGCTCTAGGCAACAGACACATCACTCTCTGATAAGAAAAAAAACAGTCTTGGTAAAATCAACACTATTATCATGGAAACCTCTCAGTGTAGCGTGGATTTGATTTGATGATGCAAATCAGTGAAGAAGCCAAACTGTGGCTGTAATCAGTTATTTGGAGTTTCCTATGTTGAAGCTGATTGTGGAATAATAGAGCTGATATGAACCTGAGGTTGCTGTTTACATCTGGATTCAACAATGGAATTGATTTAAGTTTTTTCTTACAAGCTCAGTGTGAACACTAACAAGATATCCTGAGATAACTCTAGACCAGAACACGTCTTTAATCTACTTTATGAGCCATCAACTGACCTTCTCCGGCTCCTCTGCGGTCCACACCTTGACGATACTCATGTGCTTGTTGAGCTGGCTCTTGACCCCCTGCTCGATCTGACTGTTGAACTTCATGAAGCTCACGTAGCTGATGTAGCCCATCAGCAGCAACAGGCTCTCCCACCACAGGATCATGTTGTCCAGGAAGAAGACGATGAGCATGACAAGGTCCAGGATGTAGAAGGTTACGTCTCTGAAGAGCGGCCACCAGGTCAGGTGCAGCATCTCCCGGGAGAAGATGGCGCACATGCCGATCACAAACAGGATGTTGAAGACGGCTGAGCCCACAATGGTGCCGATGCCCACGTTGCTGTGGGAGATAAAGACACCGATCAGGGAGGTGAAGAGCTCGGGGGCAGAGCCTCCGGCAGCCATGAAGGTGGCCCCGGCCACATCGTCGGAGATCTCCAGCTTGTTGGTGATGACCTCCAGCCCAGGAACAAAGAACTCATCGCAGACAATGGCCAGGGCGACAAACATGTAGATCATGCCTGTGACGTGCAGGACCACCCAGCCTTGCCGTCGCTGCTCCACTGAGAAGATGTCTTCTGGATAATCCCCTTTCCTGTGAGGGGGCTGGAGTGGGGGACCAGGGGCAGCTGTTGTGGTTGGTGGCGGTGGAGTTGGAGGAGGTTTGGGAGGATGAGGATCTACGTAGATGCACTGTTCGATATCTGTACTGTTGACGATTATCACCAAAGGAGGTTTGGTGGCCCCAGTTGAGACAACCTCCTCCGCTGTCTCATTGGATGCCATCACCTCCCTAATGTTGACCTCCACGACATCATCATCACCCCTCTCTGCTCCGAGTGTGTCATCCGTCTGGGCGGAGGCTCGCGGCTGTGACAGCCTGGCCTTCAGAGTCAGCGTGTAGACGAAACACAGCAGCACACCTGAGATGAAGAAGAGGACGCGACTGCGCCTGAGTCTCCTCCTCGGAGGCGAGTGCACGTTCATTGCCCTCGTGGTCTCGAATCCAAACAGGAAGTTATGTCAGATGCATTGCTATTCCTTGATTGTTCCGGCACCGTTATGTGGCGAGAAGACGCCGCTGACAAGGAAGAGACACACGCACGTACACACAGTGTGTTTCATCTTTTACAGCGGGCAGCTTCAACCTGTGGAAGGACTGAAAACAGAAAACACACAGCTGAAAATCACATCATCATGAACATGTATTTTTAATGTCCTCACTGCTTGCATAGTTACAGAGGCAGATCTACTAAGAAGTGTGTGTTTGTTGGGGGAGATGGGGGATGCAGACAGCCACCTGTTACTATGGATACATAATCACGCAGGCTTTGGCTCCTCACAAAACCGGAGTCCATTAAAGACACTTTAAACATGTCGGTAAGAAAAAGCATTGGTCTTGCATCCAAAAAAACAATTCATTCCGAAATTGCCGCTCATTAGTTATTGTGTGAGGCGCGCACAGAAACAACGAAATGAAAAGCGTCCCATAAACGATCAATAATTAAATTAAATTAACCCTGCCTGCAGTGCAATAAGATCTCGATGTTGATAAAACCATCAAATCTAAGACTAAAAAAGGGCGTGTTGAGGTTTCGTTGCGGAGTAAAGTGAGGCCGGCGCGGATTATGATACAAGGTCGAATCAAACTCTTAATCTATTTTCTTTGACTATCCAAAAATAATGACAAAGATACAATAAAACCCAGAAAGCAGCTGTGTGCAGTGAGCGGTGGTGCGGGTCTTACCTGTGCCGCCGGCTGCTAGACTCCTCGCCGCTGCGGACCGTCCCTCCAGCTGTGCGTATGGACGCAGAGATGCTGACTCCGGGTTTTGGAGAGCTACAAGGGCGCACCGCATGTCAGGGCTTGAACGAGGCTCAGCATAATGCTGCTAAGAGGATTAGGAGCCAAACACCTCTCACCTCCCCTTTCACACATAACGCTGTATCAATACACCAACATTCAAACTGTTGAATGCTGGTCGCAGCTGCCAGTTTGAGGTGAAACCTCGGAGGCGGCTCTGAGCGCGGTGTCTGTTGGATGTACAATAATTAAATGTTCAGAGTCGGGCAGGAGGAGTTTGGTCGTTACTTTGGGTGTGGTCAGGTGAGGCCTCATTTTAGAGTGTGGGGTACTGATTCATTTCCCTAAACAAAGAGCAAAATATGAAATAGCACGTGGGAAACAAGCGCTTTATCAAAATCATCAAAATGTTTGCACGTGAGAAGATATGATTTACAATATTTTAACTTGGAAAATGGCAAATTTCACACGTTCACATTTTCAACTAGGCCTATATATCTATCTATCTATATATATATAAATAAACAACATGTAATGAATCTAGAATAGATTAAAGTTTCACTTTTTGACTTATGGGAAAAATAGTTTTTCATGATTTTTGGAAATGCAGTTGTTTGTATATCTATACACACATATACATACATATTTTACCTGTAGTCAGGGTCTCTGCTTATATATGAATCCAACTAAAATTTCAAAAACTAAAGGAAATGTTCACAGTATTCACACAGCTTCATATTATTATCAGACAAACTTTGGAATACATTTTTCGGATTTTGTCCTCCATCTCTTCATTTGAAGCACATTAATAAATCTCTTATTGTCCAGTATGATCAACAACAAGTGTGCATGTTTCCCGTTTTCACTACCACCAGAAAATACAATTTTAGCTACAGATACCAACTCATGTTACACTGATGTGTGACTGTAACTGATGTGTTGTAATTTGACTAAATTAATACAAAATATACACTAGCGTGCAAGAGTTTTAGGCAGGTGTGGAAAGATTGATGTAAAGTAAGAATGTTTTCAAAAATAGATTATATTTATCAAGTAACAAAATGCAACGTGACCAAACAGCGTTCACAGCATTTGTTCTACACCTTCCTAAAACTCTTCAGTATTGTATATATAATTAGCTCCACCATTACAACCTGCAACACTATACTTCTTCCACCACAGCTCAAAAGCAAAAGCATACAATTTTATAAAAGTATCTACTAAAGCATCCTGCTGGCACAGTGGTATAAGATGCATATCAAATAACTGCATCATCCCTAGTTTGATTCTTCTCCATGGACACTTGCAGCATGTCATGAACACAAAATTCCCCCCAAAAACACAACCTAATTTTTAACGTCACGACAGGAACTGGGATCCGAGAAAAAATAAAAAATAAAAAAACAGCCCACCTCCAAAATAGGAATTCGGATGTTTATTTTTGTCAGGAAAACATAACTGTGATCAAATGCAGCATTAGTCTGAATTTGTTTGCCTATAATGCAATAAATACTCTAAATCAGGCTGTATGTCCAATACACATCCGTCCCAAAAGACACCCTAAGAAAAATTTATGTGAAATGAAACAAACAAATTCACAGCAACAACTTCAGTAAACACAAACAAATAACAAGACTCAAAGATGAACAGATTGGAACGGCCAAAAGAAAACAAAGAACTCAAGTACAGTCAGTGGAAAAAATTATGGACGGCTCATCAGGACATTTAACAATTTCCCCTGTCCCAGAATTCTACACTGGTGAATCTTGAATCTTTCATTTCACTGGGCCAGTTCAGTCTGGAAATCTGGGCTTCAAATGAAAAAACACACATCAAATTAGGGTCATGTCTTAACCCGACTTTTTAGCCACTAGGTTTGCCTGGATAATGGTTTCACCTATTGTCAGGAGTACAGCTCGAATCCATGGATGAAACCCACGACAGTTTTAAGATATGATACCAATACTGATATTTGAGAATGACAAAATAACAACAAAAGAGTGGCTGATTAGGGGTGTGCGATATTGACAAAAACTTCTATCTATCTATATATTTCTGGGATTTTGTCGAGACAATATTTGGCATCCTTCAAAAAAGAGTTTGAAAAAGCCATGTGTGAGTGTAGCGTGAGGTAGAGGAAGAGGAGTGTGTGTGAACAGCAGAGCAGAGAGCAACGGGTCAGCAATAAGCCCTTAGTTTAGCAGTAATGTCTAATTTAAGTTACAGCGGTGAATTAAGACTGCAGCTTCTCAAGTCTAATGCAGAGCTCCCATGTGTTGCTTTCCAGCTGTTGAAGAAAGAGTGAAGGGGGTTGGCCCTGAAGTTCAACTTCAGCCCTGGAGAACAACAAAGTCTCCCTTGTAGGCTACTTCCCAACTATTTTCTAGGAGCCGAACAGGGATGGTTAACAATAGGATATTAATATTAATGATTTTAATATTTAAAACTGAAGCATTAAACAGTATAAAAACACTGAAATCACCAGCACAAATATTGCTGACATCAAACCGTGTAAGTAGGAGTAAACAATTTCAGCTGTTGCTACATTAGCCCTGAGTTTTGTCTATAGCTGTTGTCGTAGTGGCTTTAAATCCGTCATCAGCACAGTGGTGCTTGAACTTGTGCCGGTAAGTTGGCTGGTTCAGGCCTAACGCGGACAGCTGACTCCCAAAGCTTTTCATATTCTTGATATTCTGCGCGGTGGTTAGTTTGTGGTCTTAAATGGCAACCCGGCCTTTCTGTGTGGAGTTTGCATGTTCTCCCCGTGTCTGCGTGGGTTCCCTCCGGTTGCTCCCGCTTCCTCCCACTGTCCAAAGACATGAGGTTCATTCGTGACCCTAAATCCTCCTTAGGTGTGAGTGTGACTGGTTGTCTATGTGTGGCCCTGCGATGGATTGGCGACCCCCGCCTTTCGCCCGATGTCAGCTGGGATTGGCTCCTGCCCCCTGCGGTTGACGATGGATGGATGGATTGATTACAAATCGCACACCTCTATGGCTGATTAACATAAACACACACGCCAAAATTTTTGATAAGCATCCTCTAAATTTGGTTTATTCATTATTAGTCCAGGGACCTTTTGTTGCATGTTATACCCCTCTAACTCTCTCCCTGTCATCTCCCTTCATCCATAATCAAAAGACAACAATGTGTAGAAATCAGTAATGGTACTGTAAGTTTTTGTTTGCAGATAAATGAGAAAATCTCTGCAGAAATTAGTTTAGGCTAAAGTGCAACATGCACACACTGAACGCAAATATGCTAATCAAGGTACAGTGGCTGGGATGTGCCAATCAGGTTGGCGAATGCCCTGAATTGCCCCTGGCGGCTGTTCCGCCAGTGTATAAATGTGTGTATCTGTTTGAGCACAGGCTCAGTGAATGAATGTGTGTGAATGCAGATGTAGTGTAAAAGCGCTTTGAGCGGTCGAAAAGACTAGAAAGGCGCAAAACAAATACGGAGCATTTACATTTAAGCTCGTTAAACATCCCGTTCCTCTGCCGCAGGTGGACACAGACGTGAGTGCTGCAGCTGATCTACAGCTCTTGTCGGTTGGAAATATTTTAATAACCTTCCAAACTGTCGCGATTTTATTTTTGTGTGGCTTTCTCTGCGCTGGAGTTATTTTAAGAACTTTATGGCTTTATCCAGTTATTAAATGTGTAACAGACTTTATTGTGTGTCTCTTCATTATACTCCCACACAAAAAAGCTGCTTTAATGGTCAAACTAAGCCTATAGACTAGTTTGTCATTATATTCCAGTCAAATCTGATGTTTATTTAGAAATAATGCTCATGTATAGCCCCGCGACCCTGTGCGCAGGATAAGCGGTTGATGATGGGTGGATGTGCTCATGTATAGTGGTTACAAATAATGATGCATGCGCATCGCTTTGTATGGCGTATAGGCCTACAGCCTATGTCAGCTGGTTAATTTGCCTAATCTTCTTCTTTAGACCATGGTGGAAACGCACACAACAGTGGGCCGAAGGAACCTTTTAGTTCCTTGAAAAGAGATCTGGGGACTTAAAAGTCGCTGAATGACGCCCAGAGTGTACTTTTTTCCTGTGACATTCCTCTTTGTTACACATAACTTTATTGATGGTCTTCAATGTTTGGATTTATTTATATGTGTGGATTATTTGAGTTAATGTCAATGTCTGGTGAAACTTTCATGTGAATAGCCCCACTGGGAATATGTTTACTGAACAAAATGTTGACATTTTCAATACTTATTTCTCCCACTGTAAATATGTCCTCTACGGTACTTTGCATAGCTAGGGTAATATTCAAAGCAGTAAATGGCTAACGGCTTCATCAAAGGCATAGTGTTAGTAATGCACCTCTGAAAACAAAACACAAACAAAACAAAACCCCTAACAGTTACATCATAGTTATTTCATGCAAAGGCATCTGAAATAATTTCTCTATTGATTCAAGAACCATAAAAGTGGTGTTATAGCTTATCAACTTCAGTTTATGTAAAATTTGCAATGCTGTTGACTGATTTTCCAAGAATCCACAAGTTCAAAAGCAACTTGTAGAGTCTTGAAACTAGCTTGAGATGTCAGTCTTTGTGCAGTGGCAAGCGGGAACAATTTTTAGACTCTCGTGGTGTGTTGAGGTACGTTCTGACATTTGAGAATTCAGTCATTTGACAAAAAAAAGTGAGATATCAGACAACCCCAGCAGAAAACATGAGGGAGATGATGACATGATTTCACATGCATGCATTTAAAATAAAGCAGAAAAATCTAAATAGCCAGATTGTGAAGCATACTTGAAGACACCACGTAAGATTTTCAAAGCTGTATTGGCTTTCAGTTGCATTAAAACTCAACAACATAACAGGTTAATAAATGTGTAAATGCATCTGTGATTTGTGGGTTAAAGAGCCATTAAAACGTGTTTTGAAGAGCCGTTCTGATGGTAACTACTAATTTTTGAATCAAATGACTCCTATATTTTCAGAAAGGAAACACTTCGTGTAAACGTGAAAATCAAAAGAAAAAAAAAATGTTATTGCAACAGAACTATCAGGAATAAAAAAAAATTAGACAGTGACAGCAGACGTGGACAGAAATCTTGATGGACATGTTTAACGGAACAAACAGAGTAACAACTCAAACTCACAGTAGTATAGCTGGATCAACCTTGCCTGTTCAGCAGTGAGATGTCGAGCAGGTACAGTAGGATTTGGTCTGAATAACGTTCCCAGTTCACCAGTGGAGGAATAAGGTGACCAGTACGCCAACATCAGGTGAGTGTGTGTGTGTAGGAAAGATAAGAAAAGGCAATCAGAGGAAAAGGAAACAGCTGCTTTATCTTTAGGTGGCCGGCAGTTCAGAGGGTGTGTGCAATATCAAGGTGCTGATCAGTTACTGGACTTTCCTTTTCCTCGTGCGGTATCGTCTCCTCCTCTGCTTATACAGGTGTCGGAAATTGATGAAGAGTCCTGAGGAGGAGAGGGAACCACAATCAGTGTAAAGTTGATTGAAAGTTTGAGCAGCCCCCCCCAATGAGACAAACATGACAAACTAGTCTTTTGTCACTGCAGACTAACAAACACAGTACTTTGATATAGTTAATTTAATAAAAAACACAAACTTTAGATCACTGCTTGTTTTCCTAAGCTTATCACTGTTTTCCTACATCCCAGGCAGCCCCATAGCCTTTTATTCTATTCAGTACAGTTTTGAAAATCAGTGTTTTCAGAGCTTGCTTGGGTTCAGTAATCCATCATGACGTCTTCAAATAAGTGTGCACTTAAAAAAAAAAAAAAAGGTTGTCAATGACATTAACAAATACAAGAAAGGCAAGCAACAGAATATATATGAAGAAATTTGCTGAATACCGAACAAGTGCATTCATATTTGTTTCTTCCCGTAAATTAAATAGTCAAATTGTGCTTTTTACTCAGCTTTTCCCACAGGATTTGGAGAGACTATGGTTGGTGGGATTACATGCGTCCATTTACTTTTAATGGACACATGTAATTTGTTTTATACTTTGTGAATATCATCCAATTAATCTTATTTCCATATTGTATAGATGCCTTATTTTGAAAAACGGACTTAGTCACGTGTGTCCTCCTTGCGTTAAATTCATCAAGTCTGACCCAATATGATAAATGTAGTATGTGGTTCTCGTATGGTGTAACATGAAGACTTCCCAGCCTCTCTTCAGGTAGGACTCTCATACTGCAACACTTTATAAAGAGAGAAGCTGACAGGATAAAGTCGCTAACCTGCCTGTCAGCTCGCTCTGGGCCGTTTCAGTTACCATAAGTACTTGAATACGTGTGCACTTCAAATTTAGGTGCGGCTAGTTTATTTGCCTTCTCAGAAACAAGCGGGTTTATTGCCTTTTCAATGAAGTCAGCCACAGATGGAGTGGATGTGCTAAGAGACAATTCAGCAGAACAGTGTCTGCAAACAGCCATTTTTGCATCTTTCTCTGACACTTTAAAATGCTTCCACACTGACAGGTCATCCTAATTGTTTGGTAAAATTTTAAATCTGTCTTTTGACGTATTAAGCCGAACACAGAAAGAGCCATTTTTGGCTGATTAATTTCAGGGGCCGAACAGTCTGTGCATCCCTAGATCGCTACTTAACCTTGCTATTGCAAAATGTCATGGCAGCTGACTGTTTCTTTAGAAATGCCCACAGACATTTTGCCCACAAGCAAGTAAGACTGATCACGTTTAAAGGCCAGCGGCAGTTAATGATACAGGGAGGCAAGTGGCAGCGAGGAGGTAAAAATCCTTCATCTCTTTGCTCTCCAAGCCCCTAGAAATGCATAATGTGCAAGTTCTGTATGCGATAGTTTTTTTTTTTTTTTTTTTTAAATCAGACGCCATTAAATAGGCTGAATGTCTCAGCAGTGTGTTAGTGGATGTCTCACCCAGGAACATGAGGACCAGGTAGAGCTGCAGAGTGTAGGAGAAGCTTAAAGAGTGTCCCAGCACCGCAGGGAGGGGGAGGCTGAACAGACGCGTCTCATCAAAGATGGGCAGGGACTGGATGACAGCCACCGCTGGAAACACAGAACGACACGCCGTCAGCAGAAACTAGCAACAACTGCCACGAACCTTCGTTTATGTATAACAAACTAGTCAACTAACCTTCAGCCACAACGCCCAGCGGGTACAGAGGGATCCAGAGGCTGTATCTCAGCCACGTTAGCAGCTTCCACTCTGTGCTGATGCAGGCCAGCATGTAGAAAGGGTACCTGACGTAGAGAAGAAAAGGCCGATGTTAAAGCAGGCAACAGCACATCTTCACCAGAGGGCAGAGGATGGTGACCGCAGCTAACCTGAAGATCTCGATGGTGCTCCAGAGGTAGAACACGAAGAAGACTACCGACTTGTTCTGCATCTCTTCCAGACTGCCGAAGATAACGAACAGAATGACGTTCCTCCCTGCCACCTGCAACGTCACAGAGCACAATAGAAAGAGATCTTAGAGATGTAAAGAGATTAACCACTACTGCTTGCAATCAATGCAGGAGAACAAGAGAAAGTCTCTTTTAATTCCTCCCCCTTGTCAAAACCGGTCTGCAGTTAAACAGACTTTACACAGCTCCTGCTGGAGCCACAAAAGGCTTTTAAGAGTTATGCAATTTTTAATTCACACATGCAGTGATACTCCGAACACTCAAAGACAGACTTTCAAGTGTGAAATTATAAGAACTGTGATCAGTCAATTTGGGGTGTTTATTTTTTCCCCCCCTCACGCTTTCCTGATTTCTGACTGTTGATAGTGAAGACAGCAAGTCGAAGAATAGCTCAGTAATTGTATCCTTTTAACGCCATACATAGTGAGTGACTACGAACATGATTACTTCAGGTCTAATCGGGATGAAACTGTTACAGGTTTAATGATAAACCATGGTAAAATTCCTGACAGTCATTATTACCATACGCATTTTAATTACCATGATAACTGGGTTCGGTTCCCGCGCTTTGATAAACTCACGGCAAATACTGTCCAGCATCAACCAAAATCAGGCACCGTCTGCCTGAAGCATGCGCAGTATGCAACGTGGGTTTGTTTGGGTCAATTACATCACTGCGGAAGACCCGCTGCAGAGATGTTGTAGTTTTGATTTATAAGAGTGCTGAGAGAAACTTGATTGTATAAAACTGACTTCTAGCCAACGAAGGGTGAGCTAATTTTTAGATTTGGCTGCCTGATTTGCTAACAAAACTGTAAACTGAAGTTCTCAGTGTTAGTTACTCTTGTAAAAACACTACACATTGTTCTGCATGTGTCTACAGACTATTTGCCCACTGCACATGATAACATGTTACAGTTTAGTCACAATAACTACATATCTTGTTCATTTAAAATGCGGTAGCTGTCAAATTGGTTGTGAAAGTGTTTGTATTCCTGTAGTTGTGCATGGGTTCATTGCATTACTGTTTACATAGGGTATCTGCTATTATTTTAATGTTTATGCAAACAAAATGTTAATTTTGTTTGTGGTTTTCAGTGTTTGAAATTGATTCTGAGTGTATCAGTACATTTTAACAATACCGTGATAATACTGATAATCATTACTCATTCATCATTTTGGTCCCTATAACCATGTTATGAAATTTCCATACCGTTTCATCCATAGTTTATAATATATGCACATGATAATGTACCACACACATATCTAGTGTTGCTGTGAAGCTCAAAGGATGAAATCTGATGCTAATCTGTGTCAGATTTAGTGGCAGCTAGTGGCGAGATTGCAACCCAGATTGCACCATAAAAAAAATAAAAAACAAAATTAATTTTTGTTTTTTGGAAGGACTTGACTGGCCTACACAGAGCCCTGATCTCAACCACATGCAACACTTACAAGGGCCCAGTACTCTCAATCAGAATTGCTTGCCATATGGTCAAACAACTTCAGAAAACTAAAAACAGAATTTGAACTTTTCTCAGGTAATTATTTCTTACGCTTTTCATGTTTATAACCAAAGGCAACACTATGAGGTAGGGGCAACCGTCTGAAAATGCGTACTGTAATCCCCATATTTAAAATCATTATTCCATCTGCCACCTCTCGAGTGTAGGATAAACAACAACAAGTTTGTTTCAACTTTTAAATCCCTTCTAAAAAAAAAAAAAAAACACACAACAACAACAACATACTTCTATGTAAATTTCTCTCTACGCATGTCGTTCGGAGTTTACATTCACTGAAGGATCTTTGCATTTCCTGTCTTTATCTTGTAATACCCTTTACTGCTATTTTTCGGCACATCCTTGTACGTAAAGTTTTGACCTGTTCTTAATAGTATCTCTGTTTACCTCATATATTACCTCTATTTTGATTCTTTATTGCAGCCTCTTTTGGGTTTACTGTTTGTAAAGCACTCTGTAAACATTGTCTTTATACAAGTGACATACAAATAAAGTTATTATGATTATAACAGATCCTACGAAACATAGTTCTTTTCTAGCACAAACAGGCTCTTAGGATGAACTGAACAATGACTGTGAGCCTTATCGCCTAACATCAGTGTTTGACCTCACTAATGCTCTTGTGGATGACTAAGAGCAAATCCCCGCAGACAGGCTCCAAAACCTGGTGGAGAGCCTGAAACCTGAAGAGGCTGTTTTGGCAGCAGATTAATGCTCAAGGTTTTTGAATGGGATATTTAAATATAAATAAATAATGTTCGGGTGTCCACATACATTTGGCCATATAGTCGCTGCTTATACTGTATATATATGATTATTAATTTCATACTTTAACTATTTACAGTAAATGCACTACTTTTTGATGGCTGTGATGAAATCACAAAGAAATGAGACCTGACCGTCTCCCCTACATTACCTGTATCATAGCAGGAAAAAATCCAGTCTTAACCAGACCCAACAAGGGATTAATGACCTCGATCACCGCCATCATCTGACAGAAATACATCATGTCTGCGGTGGTGTGAAAGGTGTCATAAAACGAATCTGCGGAGGGTGAGAGAAACAAACAGACATAATTAAAAAGCACATTGCATGAGCCACTATCAATAATCCCCATGATTTGCAAAACAAATCCCTGCTGTGTAGTCGTGTTCCTGTTTCTATTCAAATGAGCTCATCTGTGAATAGCTCCTCACAAGCAAACAACACAGACCAGTGTCTCTCAGTGTTTTCTGGATCTCTCCGTTTGTTTTATTTTACTGCTCAGTGGTGCTAATTGTGTCTCTTCTGTTTTTGTGTTTCACAAACACTCACACGCAAACTGTTGTCCAGTAATTAATTTAGCCCATAAAATTCAAAAGATATTTAGGACAATTGTTTGAGTTTTATTCCGCTTTTTATCTTTATTTAGTCCATCCCTCTGCAGTCTGCCAATTCTGCTTTTAGTCGTTCAGCGTCTTTGTTTTCACTTTTTCTGTGAAGTACTGAATAAAGCACCAGAACAATGCAACCAACATTAAGGTGACTAAATATAAACTGATGAACTGCCGCCATATCTCAAGCAGGTTTCTTGTCTGCAAGAATATTTTTTATGCCATGATGAAAACAACTGAAAATAGTAGCTACCTGGAAGGTAAGAAATCAGTCCTAAAAACATCCTCTGTATGCATGTTCTTAAAGATGGTCGGCAGTAATGTTATGTGAGAACACACCACAGAAATTAAAAATTAGATTCTGAATGAGAACTGAGTCGTTATTGTGGATCTCGTCTTCGTAGTTTTGGTCTTTTGTTCTCTCAGTTATGTTCAAACCGGTCATAACGGTCAGACAGGGCAAGAAACACGAGCAGTCAAGACGATCTGACAGGTTGTACGTCCCGTAGTTGCTACTTTAATTAACATGACATGTTGTATTCTCTACTTTGGCCAGTCAAAATTATTCATTGCTGGTTTCTTTGCCTTCCTGTGGCCATGAACTTCACTTCAAAAACTGACTTTAAAACAAACCTTGACCAAGAATGAAGAGTCGAACAGTCATGTTGACAAAGATCCAGGAGAATCCCAGAAACTGCACCAGGTTGTACATAAACAAATAGCCTCTCTTCAGGCCGAGGTAGGCTGGGGAAACAGAAGAAAATAATTAAAATGAAGTGATGCTGATGTTGCTAAAGCTCCTCCTACAGGATAGTAAATGTCTACGACAGCAGTCAGAAACATTTCTGTGAGTTTTTGATGTTTGCAGGTGAAGAGATCAGTCTGACTCACGGTCTTTACGAACTCTTGACTCCACACTTATCCTGTTAATCTTCTCTTCTTCCTGAAAGAAATCACACCACCAAACTTGTTTTACATTATTTTTTATATTTACTGATATCTTCACTTGTTTTAATATTGTGAATATGAATTCTGATCTCTCAAAGATCTCTCAGAGCAGTCGACTGACTAATTTGTTTTAGTTAGAGGCATAAAAGGTTTTACTCGATGTTTGATCAGGATTCTAAATTCATAAATATATTTTAACAAGTTAAAATTTTTCCACGCACATCCAGCATTTCTGAGACCTTCTTTAATGAGAATGATACATGGCTCACATTTTCACAACAACTATAGGCAAGTCCTGGTCGTCCATAGCAGACATCACCTGTGGGGTACCACACGGCTCAATTATTGGCCCCATCCTATTCTCCCTCTATGTGCTTCAACTAGGTCATATAACTTGTAAGCATTACGTTTCTTTTCACAGGTAGGCTGAAGACAGAGTTATTAAGACACAATGATCACAACTGCTTCAATACTCTCAGAGACAATAAATGTTGAATGAAAGCAAAAATTAATAGTTTTATTTGGACAGCCCAGGAAGAGATCTTTTCCTACATGATCTAGGGGACTTGTCTCATATAAAGTCTGTAGCCAGAATCTTAGGAGTGATATTTGACAGGGACTCGAGGAGAAGGTCAAGAGGTTTCTGCAATTCTGCTTCCCTTCAACTTAGAAATGTCACTTTCATTTATCACATGCTGATTTAGAGAAGGTAATTTCTTCTACACTACTGCAACTCTCCATCTGCCTCAGTCAAAAATCAATTCCACGTCTCCAACTTGTTCATAAGGCTGCAGGTGGAGACCATGTTGCCCCAGACTTAGCATACATAGTAAGATTTATCCGACTGGTACTTTAAAGCATAGAAGGTCTAGCCCCTAGATATATTGCTGACCTTTTAACTTTTTATGAGCCAGAAACGCACCCTTAGATCCTCGGGCAAGTCTTTTTGGTTGTTCCACAGTCCAGATGCAAGACTAAAAGGTGACTGCTCTTACTATATTTTAGGGCGCCTGTACTTTGTAACGGCCTGCTTGAGGAAATTAGGCTAGCAAAATCTTTTGAATCCCTTCTAAAAACTCACTTTTATAAACTGGCTTTCAAGTAAATTCACTCCCTATGCACTGCTGTTAGCGGCTTGGAACGGACATTTACTCTTAATTTTCACAGTTTTTGGCACACTTGTATGTAAAGTTTTGATCTGTTTCTAATAGTATCTCTGTTTGTTGTTGTGTTTTTAGCTATGTCGTTTATTCTGTAGCCAGGTTTGCATTAGCAGTCAAAATCCTTTTCCATGGCAGACAACATTTTACCCTCTTTTCAGAGTGGATTTATTTTTGTTTGTTTTTCAAGTTCGTACCTTAGCCTGAAGCTCCATCTCGGCATCGGACTCGTCCAGCCAGCGGTCAAAGTCGGGAGCCAAAAACAGAGGCTTCTTCTCCTGCAGTGTCAGCCGATCCCACCAGCGCTCCTCCTGCTTCCTGATCTTGATGTCCACCTGACGCTGGGTGGACTTGTGGTTGATCTGAACACACACAGTATTAGAAAATGTAAGGTTTCTTAACTGAGCAACATATGGCAATGCAATTACATGAGTAGCTGTTTGAACACATTTTATCTGCTACTAATGGTCAATAACCTTGGATGGTTAAAGGACACGTGTGACATATTAAACATCATCCCAGCGTTTTTCCCCAATCAGTGTTCACTTTGACTTGACGGCAGTGATTTCTAGCTGGTACGCTCACTTAATCAGCACAGTTGTTCATGTATCCCAGTTGTAAAAACAATTGTGGATCTTCATGTGAACCTCAAGAGAAAATCGTATGAAATGTGCCATTGTGCTCTAAAAGAGGTCTTAATAAGGGATAAAAGAAAGTACAACTACAAAAGCACTAAATATTTCATATATAAATTAACAGAATCAGTAACTGCCCTTCTACCCTCTGGTATTCAATTTTTTTTTCTATTACAATGATGCAAAAGCAATACATTGTAATTAGGGTTGGGTGATATCACGGTAAATAATTTCATTTGATCTCGATAATCATCATGATAAATGTCAAATTATTATTTCTTTCACATTTAAAGGCTGATTTTTGCTCCTAGGTGAAAGTTGAAGAAACCATTGGTTAATTGTGGTTTTAGATTATTTAAACTTTATGGTCAGAATACACACTTTATACCAAACCAAAAAACAAAATCTGAGGGAGAACATTCAAAACAATTATGATATTTTTCAACAAATATGCATGAGTAAAATTAAGTAAATCTTCTTTCAGCCCCCTTTCCTCAATATAAATATCTTAATAGAAAATGTAAGTGCTAATTTGTTTGTAATTCAAATTAACAAACATTTATTGAAAATGTATTATATTATTATTATTATTATTGAGGAAGTTATATTGCAATAATCATCATTATTGTTTTATTACCAGCCCTAATTTCAATATAACAATTGATTCCCCCACTAATAAGTAACATACAAATAAAAGATGAATACCTCTGGTCTAACAGGTTCCAGGAACTCCAAACTGAACTCGTATTCATTATCTCCTTTAGCTCCATGGCCCTGTGCTGTGGAGCAATATTAAGATTATATTATAACATCAGGCGTTACACTGTGTACCCTACAGAAATTGCATAATAACTGAACTTCAAGTTTGTGGAATATTTTACATTATATTTCATCACAAAATTATCATTATTCAACCGAGCAACTGCTCTCATCAACATTTTCTCCCTCTTACACGCACTAATGTAAACACCAACCTCTAAACTGAAGCGTGTTGTTTTCTTGCAGGCCGATGTCGAGATTCTGAAAAACACAAAAGGCAGCCATCACAAACAACCCGACGCTGACCCGATAATGGACAAAATTATATTATGCAGTGAGAATTAAAGTCTGGTGATATTCTATGTTTTTCTTTTTTTAAGATAAGAGTGGAGAAACATAATGAGTGCAGATGCTTCCACACAGGTGAACTGCACGGTACACAGGGTGAAAATTAACTCTAGTGAATGTTCAAAGTGTACCAACCACTCAATAGATCACCATTGTTGTTTGGGCTGGTGAGTGAAGTAAGTCTACCAGACATTTGCATATTTTACCAGCAGGTGGTTGGTGCTAATTTTGGACCCTGATGGTACAAACAGTCCGTCAACAATAACACAAACAGTGATATTATAGTAGAGCTGCGGTGCATAAACCCCTCATTACAAAGATGAACGCACAGTTGAGAGTTCAGAGGTGCAAAACCCATCGGCACTGCTCTACAGAGATGTGGAAGAAAGTGACACGGTCAGATGAGTCACTCTTCACCATATTCTCGACATGTGGGCGAGTGCATGTGGCGAACAACAAGAGAACAGTACCCACCTGAATGTTAGACCCCTACAGTAAGGGGGTCCAATCTGCTGGCATGGTTTGGGTCTACTTGTCACCGCAAACCTTTACCCTAAGATGAAACATTTCTATCCTGACAATGCTCACGTCCGCAGGGCATGCAGGCTCACTACCCGGTTCCACGAGTATGAAAATGATGTGAATCATATGCTGCGGCCTTCGCAATCACCAGATCTCAACCCAACTGAACAACTATGGGAGATTTTGGAATAACGTGTCAGACAGTGCTCTCCACCACCATCAACAAAACACTAAAAGAGGGATTATCTATTAAAAGCAAGGTGTCCATCCCTCCAGTAGACTTCCAGAGACCTGTGTAATTAATTAAGCTTTTCTGGCGGCATGTCGTGGTCCAACACCATACTAAGACACTTTATGTTGGGCTTACCTATAAATTTGTCCCCCCCATCTGTATATATTATTTACATAGAGAATACTATACGTTTTTGTAGAAACTGGTGTCAATTCCACTTTATGGGCATGTCAGAGGCTGTAAAGTGGTGTTTGTATTAGGAGTTTCTCATATTTAGTCCATCCTTATAGATATAAATGAGCCCAACATGTGTAGCATGACAGGCGTTCTTCTGCCAGCCTGTTTCAATTACCCTTAAGCCATTCTGCTGAACAAGATCCAGAACAACAACAACTAAAAAGCCATGCATCTTTTATAAGACATTTGTCTAACAGATGCAGGAGGAGGAGGCGGAGAACCTATATTTCATGTTACTAATGCAAACACACAGTCAGCAGAATTACAGAAAATTCAAGTGGTCAGCGATAAGCTCAGTGATGAGGTAAAGAAAAAAGCCCCCACCCAAATTATTCAACTTCAATACTTTCTTCTGATAATAATAATAATATAATATTGTTTAGGTAAAATCACAAGTCAAGTTGTCCAGTTGTTAACTGTGGTGTGCAGCTACTAAACAAGGACCAAACTAGAGCTCCCATTGTCAGCTACCCACTACTTTAGACATCACTGAGGCTGTTAATATTGTTTTGTACTGTTAATTTTGACAACACACTTCTTTAAGTTATTTAGACACGTAGATTGCATTTGCTTTGTTTATTTGTAACGTTGGTATTTATCTAGACAATATGTCAGTAACGTTACATGTCTACTATTTGCTTACAATCTGGGTCCCTGCATACAAGCTTCAGCTCGCTTACCACGGTGTCCCTTTTCACACGTCTGCATTAGCCTATTTCTTATGACTATAAATTGTAATTTAATTTTTTGTGAATAAACTAAACTGTGCTTAAAAAAAAATCGGTAACGTTAATGTCCATGAACCCGACAAACAATTAAGGTTGTCAATTCACTTTCAACAGTGTTATTTGGGGCAGCAAATAACTTAAATATACACACTTTTCTGAACACGGGATAAATGTGAATTAACAAACCTAAATAATTAGTTTAATTTAACGTTAGTCATATTTTATTATATCTGTACACCTTCATTTAGATGCTAGCAAACACAGTTAGGCTAACTGTTAGCTTAAAACCAGGTTTTCGCTACAGCGAGATAAACATCAGCTAGCTAACGTTACACCCGCAGCATTAAGAAAATAAAGTTTAGAGGCATTTAAAGAGATTATGTGAGCAGGTAACCGACAAGTTGAGGCTGAAAGCAGCCAGTCGTGGTAAATGTTGTGGGATGTCCTACCTTTGCATCGCTCAGTTCCACCCGGAGGTAAATCTCTCCGTGTCGCTGAGCCCAGTAAACATGAGGAGTGAGGGTCTGCATGGTCACTCTGGGTTCTGAGATTTATATGCCATAAACAAGAAAGGGTAATTTACTCTAATTAATGAACCGCAGTCCTCATCTGACACTCTTCCAGCCACACACACCCAAACACACACACACACAAGACTGATTCTCATCAGAGTAGATGATGGAGCACACTTCCGGGAGGAGGTCCATTGAGGATTTCAAAATAAGAATCCTAAAGAGCTGTTTGGTAGCTTCAAAATAAAAGTCCTCAAACTTTCAGACATGTTTCTATCTTATTTCTTATCCCTCACTGAAAAGTCCTTTCTCAGTGTATGTCACAGGCAGAGGAAGTATACAGACTGTGACTGTAAAAATACTGTTAGTCTTGCTTTGAAAATGTTACCAAAGTACAAGTACGTAAGTATAAATCTGTCTATGACTGTTAGCCTATTATTATATTAGTTTATTATTACTGATGCATTTGTGTAAAAGCAGAATTTTACTGTTGGTTGAGGTGGAGCTATTTATTATAAACTATTTTGCATCAGGCTGCAACTAATGATAATTCAATTATTGATAAATTAATGGTTTGCTTTGTAAAATAATGCAGTCACAATCACCCAAAGTGACACCTTCACAGTCCTAAATGATAACAAATAACTCGTAGAATCACATGTATTATTAATGAAAAATGCTGAATCTATGAAAGTTTAATGCAACAATGCATATTACCAACTCAACTGAGCACCCCCTGCTACAATTATTATTACTAGCCCTATTATTATCATCATTAATATTACAATAATTATCAGTACTAATTTTCATTTTCTGTACCACTAATATTTACTATTTCTACTAGTATTTCTGTGTGGATTTTATGTCGGCTGCTCCCCCCTCGCCCTCTCTCCCTCTCATCCCCAACCAGTTGAGGCAGATGGCCGCCCACCCTGAGTCAAGGTTCTGTTCAAGCTTTCTCTGCCTTCTAAAAGATAGTTTTTCCTTGCCTCTGTCGCCAAGTGCTTGCTCGTGGTGGGAATTGTTGGGTCTTTGTAAATAATATTACAAAGAGTACGGTCTAGACCTGCTCGGTATGAAAAGTGCAATGAGAAAACTTTTGTTTTTAAAAATGAACTCTTCCAGCAGGAAAAAAACACTTAGTGGACAGAAATAGGACCACCAAATTTAATAAGGACAATCTAGACAATTATTTCTGCTTATAGATTTCTTTACTGTTGTCACATTCTAAGCAAATAATTTATAAAATTACTCCAAACAACCCTTTGGACCTTTATGGATATAAAAAGGTTGCAATTCCACGTCTTTGGTCCAAATGTTATTTAGAAATACTGGAACATATTGTCATTTTTCCACAGTCTCAGCAGGATATACAATCTAGATTCTGCCACAAGAGGGCAGTAAGAGACTGTCTTGTAAAATCTGACCTGGCTTCTTTGCCTTTTAGCAGATACACCCTGTGGTTATTTTATTTCCTATACTCTAACTGCACACTGTGTCACTGTTTCATTAAAGGAAGCTGCTTCTGTCATTCCAAAACTTGCAATAACAGAATCAGATGTGACCCTGCTGAGACGTGTGACTGACTCTGTGTCTGCAATAAAACAAAACGAGAACTGAAAACCAGAACGAGTTTCATCTGCTGTTCATCATGATGAGAATTCTAAGAAAGACATTAGTATTTGTTGACAACCTACAGAAAACTTGACTTATATATAGACATTGTATGTTGTCTGCAAAGAAAATAACTGAATTGAGTATTTTTAATAAAAATATGCCAAACATTTTATGGCTCCAGCTTGTCAAATGTGAGGATTTGCTGCTTTTCCTTTAGATAGTTTAGTAATTTATTTTAATCATGAGGTTTGGACTAAACAAAACAAAAGCACTGTGAAGGTTTCACTTTGGGCTCTTCGGAATTGTGATGGTATTTTGCACTTTTCTTTCTGATTTCTTAAAAAAAAAAGTCGAATAATGGAAACATTAATCAGCAGATTAATCCATAACTCATGAGTTGCAGTCTGATAAAAACTGTTCAAAATGGGCTCCACCTCAACCAACTACAACTGTACAATTCTAATTTAGCATTACTGCATGAGTAATAATAATCAAAGTATTAAATAATACTATAACAGAGGACATTTTACTGCACTTTAAGTACATTTTTCAGATTATACTTAAACATTTTTACCTAAGGAACTGCCAATGCATGTACCTGAGTATTACTACTGTGTGGTACAATACTTTTACTTAAACCTTGACCAATAAAGCAGATTTTGACTGAAAGTACGACCTTAATAAAAAAAAGTCAGGGACAGATCCAGTTGTTTAGGAGAACAGTACTTAAACCAAAACTCCGGTTTTTCCACTTTTGATTATCACCCTTCGTAACTACCGGTAATCACGTTTTCACAAGTAACGTTACTAAGGTAACGCCTCCTTGTCGGTTCCAAAGTGCAACTAACGAGAAGTTCGCTAACGAAAGTGCAGGTCAGAGAATATTTTACCGGACAACTTGCACCTCGCAGTTTGATTCCCCTGCCTGTTCCATATCTGCGGTTCGGTAACAGAACATTAACATTAATGTGACCAAAACGTTTGGTGAGTTTTCTGCAAAAAAACAAAATGAGTCGAAGAGGAGAAACAACCGAGGAAACCTCCAGAGCTTCACTTTCCTCCCAGACTAACGCTGAAGACCAACCAAAGAGGATGAAAATCATTTACATCGTCTACCTCATCGCTGCTTTGGATATCACGTGGATGTTTTTACAGTTTTCTGTAACTCCTGTAAGTATTTATGTTGCTTAAAAGCAGGAAGGCGAGATTTCCGTGCCTGCTGTGAATGTGAAAACATTTCCGGAAGCGCGCATTGTGGGAAATGTATTTAATCACTGTTGTTACTGTGAGGGCAGATGTAGAATTTATTGTGGGTGTTAAGAGTGATCATGTGTGTTATTTGACACGCAAAAATGCTACCATTACCTGCATACATTTACATCACTGCAGCACCCTCACATCCAAGATGTGGTGCATGAAGTTAGATCTGCGTTACAAAATGCACTAAAATTTTAGCAGCAAAATGCAGTTTAATGTACTTTATCATAGGTAAAAGTGCTCCTTATTGCAGTCACATTAATGCATTTCATTGTTGAATATGTTATAATCAGTGTTTTAGGAAGTATGAAGATCCTTTACTTAAGTAAAAGTACTAATATGTATAAACACACAGAGTAAAGTCCTACATTGAAAAGCATAAGTGTCAGGAAAATGTACTTCACACATTAAAAGTACTCATGCAGTAAAAAGTCCCCTGTTACAGTTGTTTTATTATATATTTTATCATTAGGTTATTATTCCTCGTGCATTAATGTAAAGCAGGATTTTTCTGTTGTTGTTGAGCTGAAGCTCATTTTGAACTGTGAATTATTTTCATTATGGATTAATCTGCTCATTATTTTCTCCATTAATCGATTGATTGATTGGTTTGCAAAAATTCTAAAAATAGTAAAAAAAAAATAATCAGAGAACGTACATAGTTACAATCCACCATTGATAATCGATTATTACTTTATAGATGCTTTTCTCAAAACTGATGCATGAATATGTGTATATGTGGAGATTTGTTTTGTCTACATTACATTAGAGCTGAAATGATTAAGTGATTAATCAGTTTGACAAAAAAAAGCAAAAATGCCAAAAATTTCTGGCCCCAGCTTCACAAATGTATTTGCTGGTTTCTCTTTGATGGGATTTGAACTTTTGGACAAAACAAGCAATTTGGAAATCATTTTCACATATTTTTTCCTTCTTTTTATATTAAATTTTGAAAATAATAATAATACCAATAATAATAATAATCGTTAGTTACAGCCCTACTTTACATACTAAACACAGTAAGCATGTCAACTCAGGTCAGTTATATACTGAATAGTCATAAATCACAAATTGCATCAAAAGGGTTTTTCAATCTCTACAGCATTTGACACCCTCTGTCTTTAGACCCTTGATCATCACATCGCAAATCATAAACAACACAGCAAAATGCTGTCTGTGCAACACGTCAACACTTTAGGTTTATCAACTCAAACTCAGAGTGGACTGGATTTTTAGTGTCATTAACAAACAAAATGACTAAGTAACTGTGTAGTTTAGTATTAGTTGCACAAGTAGCACAGAGTATTTAATTAAATGTACTTGGTTACTTTCCCCAACTTTTTAATAGCAAGTCATTTAAAAGAGGGATACAATGGGCTACAGTAGGCCAGACAGTTGTCTACTCATCTACATTGATCCATTAAGTGTATGGAAATAATAAAATAAGGTATTTTGAAAGTGACTGAAAATAATGGCCAAATACTGGTGAATGGGAATAGAGCTGAAAACAACAAGTTGATTAATCAATTTTTTGATAATCAATTTACAGTTTCAGTTTTTGTACTGTGTTAGATTCAAGACATCAGAAGACATCGCCTTGAGCTTTGTGAAATGAGAAATACACAGTTAGCTCTTGCTGCTACAGTGAACATAGAGCCTGATAGGTTGCTTAATATACTTTGAACAGCTTCTTTGGACTCTGACCTCAAAGTAAACATGGAGTCACACATTATGGAAAATTCTTTTCTGCTGCCAAATGCCTCCACCACTGCCCCTGCCTTTCTTAAATAAG